CCGCCTAACCTCCTTTAGGCATCTAAAAAAATTCTAAGGAATTAGAATTAGAGAGAAAAAATTTCCGCTTCACCCAGCCGGGAATCGAACCCGGGTCTCCCAGATACGCGCCGGGCACTCTTACCGACTAAGCTACCGGGAACCACAGAAATTCACTCTCAAATTCACCTCAAACACCGCCTAACCTCCTTTAGGAAAAAATTCAAGAAAAATTGTAGTTTATTGATGAATCATGGCCTTCAATTTACATCATACAAAAACAAATCGAAAAAATCGAAGTTTTCACCCATGTCGGTGGTCGAGTGGATTAGACGCAAGTCTAGTGTGCGAAAGGTTGTGAGTTCGATTCCCCGTGGAACCGAATTTTTCAACGGAAGGCTCTGGCGAGCGGGAGGTTGCTAATAGAGGAACCGCCTGTACCGGCATGGGTTTTCTGTGGTTTTCCCATGCTACTTCTATGTTCTATAGAAGTGCGAGTGCGGTACAGTGTAGAATCCACAGCCGCATGCATAGGGTTGGATAGAGTGCCGAATGGGACCCGAAAAAAGAACTCCGAGGCCGTAAAAAAAAAAAAAATCGAAGTTTTAGAATTTTCGAAAAAGCTCATATTTTTTTTCTCACTATATTATGTACATCCTAGCCAAAATTCAAGTCAGTCCATTAAAAATGGACGAGGTTTTTTAGATAGTTGGGAGGAGGGAAAACTACTAAGGATTGTCAGAATCGTTCTATACGCCATGTAGGACGAATGATTTTTTTTCATTTCTTTAGGTTTGTTTGTTATAACTTGCGCTTCAATCATCTAATACCAATTTCACAACCATGAAATTTTATTTTTCACTTTTATTAGTCTCACGAGAAGACCGTTTTTTCTTCAAGGTCAGAATGTATGAACTAACAAACTTGAGTGAAAATTATTGAAAAACGTAAATTGTATCTAATACATTACAATTTTTCTAGGGGAGACCGGGGCAAAGTGGAACGGTGGGATAAAGTGGAACGGCGGGGCAAAGTGGAACGCGGGGCAAAGTGGAACGGTAGCAAAAATGAATTTAGAGCGAAATTTGGACTTTTTTTCAACTTTATTAGTCGAAAAAAGATGAAGGGTCAAACGTTCCTGCGGGTCAAACAGTGGTGTATATCCCCTTAAGCCAGGGTGAAACTTCGAACCCAGGTGGAATTTGCAAGTCCTCGGTTGATACGTGTATAGATCTGTATAGATTAATTAAGGGATATTTAAAAAAGAACTAAAATTTTGGGCATAGCCCATTTTGCCCCATACGCCGAGGTAGAACATAGTTTTTCAGGTATGTGGCTTCAAAATGCTCCTCGTACCACAATTGTCATTCGAGATACAAAAACGGTTATTACAAAAATTTGGCTATTTCCCTTAGATTCTGAAATATTCCTCAAAAATCCAGGTGAAGGACAAGTCAACTTAACGATGTCCAAGTGCTTTGGCTATTTTTTGTTCGGCTTCCCTACTTTTGTCGTCGAATATCAGAGCTTTCATTTTAGTTCCATTTGACCCTAAGTTTCTGGACATTTTGCAATGATATTATTATTTAAAATGTGAAGGTCTGAATTTGAATCTCGATATTGAACCGTCAGAAAATATTTTAAAAATGTGAAAAAATATTAGAAAGTTTAAACGCGGCTGTGTGGCGCACTTGGTAGCAGCATGAGGAGTACCGGGCCAACCGTCGTACGCGACATATGCGCTAACGACAGATCTCATTCCTAGTACCCAAAAAATTGATAAAAAACCCAGTTTTAATCATAAATATTGTTTAACATCGATTATTATAATAAACTCCCCCAAAATATTGTGAGTGCCGACATGCCGGCCTCACAAATCCCAAAGAGCATGACTGGCAAAGATGCCACAAAGCGTAAAAGCGATGATCGAAATCTCAAACCCCCCAAGAGAGTCCAAAGAAATAATCCACAATCACAGAAAGCACGTAGCATCACCTCACAATCACTTGAAAGCAGCTACAAGAAGCTAATGAAAGACTACGGTCCTAGAGTACAAGTCAAGACCCACGTGCCTAACCTCAAAAATGCTAAGTCGAGTAAAAAGACAGCACAAGATGCCGATGGCTATACTAGCCCTAAGAAAACACTGAGCCAGGTAGCAGCCAATGCCCTAGCCGACAAATCACAAGAGATTCCACTGAATAACTCCTACTCAAGCCTTGAAGACTTAACCAAAGCAGACGACAACATGGAGCTGGAAGCAGAGGCAACTCAAAGCCAAAACGGTTCTAAACCAGTAAGCCCCACACCAGTGATTCAGCAGAAACTCATCAAGAAGGCGAATCCTCCTCATACTCATCCTCTTTCAAACTGGAAATAATTCTGCTAGGATCGATAAAATTATGGAGATCCTAGGCATTCAGATCACACAATCCTCCTCATTTTCATTACAGGAGAGTGCACCATCACTGCCACTGATGATCGTAAACTGTTGAAGTGTCCTAATTGTGAACAAACTGGACACCCAGCCAACTACAGAGGTTGTCCGTTCTTCAAGCACTCAATGCAGAAACTCAAGGAGCTAAAAGACCTGAAACAAACCAAAATACATGAAAAAATTACCAGAGCCTCCAGAACTGTGAACCCCAACGAGTCATTCGCCGGAGCCACCAGCAATCAACACCAGAGACTCCACTCCCCCCAAGGACCAGGAGTTCCCCCCCCCCAAGTTACAGTGCCCACCCCATGAATCAACCCAGTGAACCCAATCCCCATCACAGCGGATCAGCACCTAGCTGGGCTGCAATTAACGTCAACTCCATCATAACCCAGAAACGTAGATACCAACTCCTGGAGTTCATCTCTAAAAATGATGTAGACATTGGTCTGCTATTCGAAACAAAACTTCGCTCTGCGCACAAGATTTCATTCAACGATCATGATTTCATCAGATCTGACCGAAAAAATGCAGTACGTGCAGAAGGTGCAGCCATCGTCATCAGGAAAAACCTGGATTATAAGATAATTAACTATCCTAGTTCAGAAAACAACACCACCATAGAATACGGCATAGTGAAACTCACCACCAAAGATGAAAAAAATCTTTTCATTATCAGGCTATATGTCACCAACAGCACCACAACCAAAGCTGATTTTACTAGCGAGCTCGAACACCTTTTCAAATCCCTCAAACTGGACAACGCAAACAATTTGTACATCATCAGGGGGGGGGGGATTTCAACGCTCGCCATACAGACTGGGGAGACCGGAGGAATGATCAACGAGGTAAATATCTGATGGAATGGGACAACAACAGTTCCTTCAAATACCAAACCCAGATTTACTCTGGTGACAAGCCCACTTTTATTCGTGCAGAGACATACCCAGGCCACTGCATTGCTGACAGATTAAACATCACCTCTCATCACAACAACAGAATACCCACACAAGTTTATCACAGTGACCACAGAGGACTATCAATCCAGATCCTTGACAACTCATCCTCCATGAACCCCAAGAATCCAGCACCCCGCAGATTCAACTTCAAAGCCACAGACTGGAACCAATTCGCCGCAACACTGAAAGCCAACTACAATGTCTCAGTTCCCACTAACAGGAACTTAAACATCGAAGAAATTGATTCAACCCTGAGTAAAATATCGGATCAGATCATCACAACCATTAATAGCACTGTCCCCAGGGCCAGCAGCTCTGACAGCGTCAAGAAATACCTAACAAGACGAATTATTCGCCTACAAAAGGCAAAATCTTCAATGCTGACCCAGTACCACAGATGTTTCGACAGTGATTGTAGGTGCAAAATACAAAATACCCGAAGCGTAAAAAAACTACTTACAGATCTGAGACTCGCCATACAACATGAATTTGATAAATTCGTGGAGAGATACTGGAAGAACCTTTATCGAAAGATAGACTTCCGTAAATCCCACGAATTTATGCCTGCCATAAATAAAATATTCCGGCCAAAACCCAGAGAAACACTCCCTGATATCCACGTCAAGGACACAGAAGTTCACATTCTACAGAGAAGCCAATACAACGAGGACAACGCACAGAAGATTGGAGATGAAGTGATTGTCTCTTACCCAAGCGACAAACTTAACGTCATTGGGGCATATTACGAGACGATCAACTCCCCCAGACACCTGAACAATGGCACGAGACTACGTGAGATCATCGACATCAAAACTCAGCAGTTCAAGACTGGCTTTGATGAAGCTCGAGCTAATGGAGATACCATCACCGTATTCTCTGATAATAACCATGCCTCTTTTCCATCCACCGAAGAATGCTCATACTTCACGAGCCCTCTTAAGCTAGCAGGTATCATCAAGAGAGTCCCCAACAAGACCTCCAGTGGAATTGATGGTATTCCCAATGTCGTCCTGAAGAACCTACTAGAGGAAGTGATCGCTGATTATGCCACTGTATTCAATAATGCTATCAACCATCACTACTTTCCTGAGTGCTGAAAAACTGCAAAAGTTCTGCCCATCCTCAAGAAAGGCAAACCTCCGAACGCCCCCTCGAGCTACAGACCCATCAGCCTCACTATTACTATAAGCAAGGTGTATGAAGCTGTTGTGACCAACGCAATCGTCAAGCACTGTAACGAGAAGGACGTGATCCCGGGCAACCAATTCGGATTTCGCTTTCGGCACTCAACAACTCATGCTATCAACAAATTCCTCTCCGATGCCAACCAGGAGCTCCAAGCAGGGAACATGATCGGTGCCACACTGATCGATCTTGAAAAAGCATTCGATTCGATGTGGCTCGATGGACTTCTTTATAAACTCCTGAAGAAGGAATTCCCCGATCACCTGATCAGGCTGATCTGGGATATGATCAGAGAAAAACAATTCTGCACCTGTGAGAACGCCGCCACATCGTCAATTGACTTCAGCATTGCTGAGGGATTGCAGCAGGGCACTGTGAATTCACCAGTGCTCTTCTCAATATTCACAGCCGACATCCTCTCGGCCTTTGGTATGAACTCAGGAAGTGACGCAAGATCAATTGCTTACGCGGATGACCTCATTGTGTACATCACTGGTAAACGAGCACCCAAGATCCCGGATGAGCTACAGATCCTCGTTAACAAGGTTAACAATTTGTACGCCACCTGGAACTTAAGACTGAACCCCACCAAATGTGAAACAATCCTGATCAGACGCCCATACCGATTGATCGGTGGCAGCGGAAGAAAAGGCATCAAAGACTTCAGCATCTCTACCCACCACCTGGAAACCAGAGAGAAAATAGATATCCCGACCTGTCAATCAGTCAGGTACCTTGGCATGATCCTAGACTGCCGCATCAGATGCGCGATTCACCCCGGTACCCAGTTGACCAAGGCGAGGAACAGATGTCGGAGCCTGGAGAGACTTTTCCACAACTCCCACATCAACAAACGAGCTAAAGTAATCTGTTACCTCATCTTGGTAAGGCCCCTGCTCACCTATGCAGCCCCAGTCTGGTGGAACACTGGTGTTGCACAAATGGAGAAAATCCGAAGATTCGAACGCCAATGTCTCCGAGCAGCACTGAAGCTCTACAGAACTCAGGAATCAGACTATCTCCTCAGCGTGAGCAATAAGTCTCTCTACAATGAAGCTGAGATCCCTAGGATCGACAATTTCATAATAGAACTGACGAGAAATTATAATCAAGGCCTAGGGGGAATCAAGAATCAAACGATAGAATCGTTGGTCAATGTTGATCCTACTTATGTGAGCCAAGCAGCGGCTACGGGATACTTCCTTCCCCAGTCGTTCACATATTTTGATCGCCTTGGCAACACCCAAGATGCTAACAACATCCCCACGATCTACCACCGAAGCAGACACAAAACTAATAAAGCTCTGCCGCTGAATTCTGATGAACTTGGTAGAACCAAGTACTCTACTGCCATACCTGAGATTGACCTGGCGGTCAATCTGGAATTTTAACAGAGTTTCTGATAAATACCGGTAGCTTGATCACACCGCAGTTCACGCCGAGTCCCTCACGACGAGAAGGGACTCCACCAACACTTAAGTCCATGAAACTCTACCACTGTATATATGTACATATTTGTATGGATGTTAATAGTAGTTAAATTATTTTATTTAATTGGTGTTTGTTATTCGTTATTTATTTATTAAAGACCCAACAGCCGAGGCCAATTATAGGGTAAAAAAATAATACAATATCATATCATACAAAATTTACAAATATATACATAATCTATAATACACAAAAATACACGATGGTGGAAGGTGGCATAGTAACAAGATTATTATCAGACAAGGTTTCAACTTTCGTGATGTCATAGGTTCACATCCTCTTCGATTTTATAAATGCATACATCTTATCAATTATATCAGTCAGTGGTGATAAAACAAGGTCAACAGAATAATCACTCGCTTCCCAAAACTCATTCACAGCATTGCATGCCTGATGCAGCGGAGATACGATTTTCGACCTGGTGTCTGGCAAATAAAAAATTGTTTTTAACCTAGAGTTCCGTGGCGGTGTTATTATCTCTATAAATATTAACTATTAAGTTCAACATACAGTTAATTCATCTACGAATTTTGGGAACGAGATTCCACTTTTTCTTTTTTTTTTTACTCAGAACGCTGATTGGGTTTTTTACATAAACTCTTTTTTTTACCAATCTCTATCACACCAAGAACATGTTAAGACCGCTTACTTTATTCAATCTCTCGGTCTACAATCACGATACCTGTCATACCAGAACAATATTTATTTTGTGTTTACTTTTAGGCGTTTAAGACTCGTCTCCCAAGACATTTTCGCCAGTATCAATTAATTGTTAGACCTAAGGATGGATTTTTTTACATAAATTTGTTTGTATCGAACATAAGAACCTGTAAATAAGAGTAATAAACAAATTTTGTTACAAAAAAAAAGTAGCAGCATGAGATTCACAACCTCAAGCTCCCAGGTTCGAGCCCCGGCTGGGCCAAAATTCCACACCAATTTTTCATCACAAATTTCCACATAATATTCATCTGAAAATTTAACACAATTTTCAACCCGAATATTCCACAGATTTTCCAAGTGAAAAAACCCACTCCACATTCAACATTCCCTGGCTGAAGGCTCTCCGGCGATAGCTGCGTTGATAAGTTAACCCTTGTAACGAAAAACTGCTTCTTCGAGAATTCATTTGTGCACGGAACTCGATTGAGAAATATCTGCGGCATTCATCATTCGTGCACCATATTCAATTTCTAAATTCCCGGGCTTCCCTTCTTGGTGCGTGTGGTTGTATTGCACTGCTACCAACTCCGTAACAAAAAAATGATAGTAGTTGATGTGAAATGCGAGAATGCACATGTGAACCCGTTGCTAAGCGCGTATTTTTTTAAATATTGCTTCGAATAAAAAATTTTTTACATCAATGAGAAGCTTGTGGCCAGTTTATATAATGTAACTAAGAGTATTTTTCATGTAGCTCGTCACGTTTGTATTTTATTTAATGCATATGATTCGGCGGTAGTGGAGGGGGTAGTTGTTTCGTATACAGATACACGGCAGCGATCGGCCTGATATTTTGTACAATCGGAGTGTAAACTTTTCTTGGCCGATACGCTGCCGCGTATCTCGATAATATTTCTCTTTGTGTATTTAAAAAGTTTTTCTAACGAGTAGATTCTCCATTAGTTTTTGAGTAAAATTACTTTCTTACGTCTTTATCATCATATAAAATATTATCATTAAAGAAAATCGAAGTAATTTTTCCATTAACTTATCCATGGTTGGACGTACACCATAAACTGATTTTGACAAGTGTTAACAGTTCATTTCCAAATAAAGTTATTATTATGAAATTCCCAGAAATTTTCAAGAAAAAAATAGTACTCTATTGAGAAAAAAAAACATTTTTTCTCATTTTTTCAATTTTGTATCAAGTTTTTCGATCTTTCCATTGCTGCAAACATTTTGAAAGCTTCAAATCAGTAGCGAAGCAGTAAACCGAGTAAAGTCGATTTTGACTATTGGCTAGTCTTTGACGAATATCTCGGAATCTAAAAGAGGTAGAAAAACTTTTTTCTTAACCTTTTTTGTAGAGACTGACCTACTGAAATTGGGTCATTCTAAGGACTATATTCTGAAACTAATCCCAAATCCAGATTTTTAAAATTTTGAACAGTTTTCAAGTTACCCCATCATACCCCGGGGCCCCTATAAATTATTGAAATTCATTTTAGGCCACGTATATGTCACAATTACCGTTTTTCTCCCTCGAGAAAATGAGTGAATCACTCCCGAAATTCCGTAGATTGTAGAAGTTTCAGCATTCTAGCCCGCCACAAACATCCGAAGGATATCCCCTTCTCCAAAACTTATGAGATCTAAATCAGGTAAAACGGTTGTGGGAATCACAATAGTTCGAAGTTCACCTGAGATTATGATGCCTGGAATGTAGCATGAATCGTTGCAATTGTTGTGGTTGCTAGGATTCCAGACATTTCCATGATCGTCACAACACCATGAATTGCGTGGGTGGTAATGGTTGCATAAATTGAGAACCCCCTAAAAGGTTCCATAGATGTACATTACCGGTTTTGTAGAGGCTGGAAGATTTGCTGGGTTTACAGCGGTGGAAGATTAGTAAATGATAGCGAGGAGAAACGTAAACGAGGAAGGAACAGAGGAAAAAAAGGAGAATGAACAAACAGTCGTGAAAAAGTTGGTGAAAAAAATATCTCTGGGATACGCTGGGACAACAAGGCGTTGTGTGACAAGGGACGTTTTCCTATAATTTCTGCGAGAATTTTTTAGCAAACCCGCACCACGTTGAAGCGGTACAATATAAGTGGAAACATTGGATCTTTTTTTTAGAGTTGTGCCGTGAGAATGTATTTTGCACGTGCTTGACGTTTCAGTAATGATGAAAAATTAATTATGGTTGAGGGACGATCATACATTGTTCTTTATGATCCTCTTCTGGGTAAATTTTCTGCATAATAAAATAGTACATTTCGAAGAAAACTCACAGTACTTAGAGAATAATTGATAGGACGATCTTTTTGGGGTCTGAAATAGTGAATAGGAGAAACTAATAACTCGAATTTGAATGCTTCCAGTTCCTCTTCCCCTGGTTAAACCAGATTGATTCTGTACTGCCTTTTAGCGTTTGAAAGCTGCTTATGAAAGACAATTGATCTCCTCTTCAGACCTGTGTCCTGAGAGTATATTTTACATGTGCTGAACGTTGAAGGCATGATGAAAAATTAATAATTCTTGAGGTATGATCATACATTTTTTGTTATCATCCTCTTCTGCATAAAGTTTCTGTATAATGAAATTGTACACATCGAGGGAAACTCGCAGTATTTAGAGACCAAAGAATAGGGTGGAGATCCGTTTGGTGCGTGAAATAGTAAATAATAAATGCTGATAACTCGAATTTTAATGTTTCCAGTTCCTCTTCCTCTGGTTAAATCAGATTGATTCTGTACTGATTTTTAGCGCTTGAAAGTTGCTTATGAAAGTGCTATTTATGAAAGACAGTGGATCTCCTCTTTAGATCTGTGCCCTGAGAATTTATTTTCCATATGTTGAACGTTGAAGTCATGATGAAAAATTAATAATTGTTGAGGTATGATCGTACATTTTTTGTTATTGCCCTCTTCTGCGTAAAGTTTCTGGATAATTAAATGGTACACATCGAGGGAAATCCGTAGTATTTAGAGACTAAATAATAGGGTGGAGATCTGTTTGGTGCGTGAAATAGTGAATAATAAATGCTGAAAACTCGAATTTTAATGTTTCCAGTCCCTCTTTCTCTGAATAAACCAAATTGATTCTGTACTGCTTTTAAGCGTTTGAAAGCTACTTATGTAAGTGCCTCTACAGCTCTTCCATGTTCATAATAATATAAGTGGAAATAGTGGATCTCCTCTTCAAAACTATGTTGTGAGAATGTATTTAGCAAGTGCTGAACGTTGAAGTCATGATGAAAAATAAATCATGGTTGAGATATGATCATACATTTTTCATTATCATCCTCTTCTGCGTAAAGTTTGTGGATAATAAAATGAGTACACTTCAGGGGAAACTCATAGCATTTAGAGATCAATTAATAGGAAGTAGATCTTTTTGGTATGTGAAATAGTAAATAGTAGATGCTGACAACTACAATTTCAATGTTTCCAGTCCCTCTTCCTGTGATCAAACCAGATTGATTCTGTACTGCTTTTAAGCGTTTGAAACCTATTTATAAAAATGTCTTTCCAGCTCTTCGGTGTTCATTTATATTTCCACTGAGCAAGGAATTATACTAATCATAAAGGTAGAACTCGTAAATGTAGAACAATGTTCTCCCTTCGCTAGGGTAAGCTGATATTTTTCATTCAATTTGTGCAACTTTTTCTCGTTCCCGATTGCATAAAAGAAAATTGTAGAAATGTAGATTTCTCCATTTTTATTTCGTCTCCGAGCTGAGAAGAAACTTGGAGATCCCCCTCAGCCAATTTACAACCGTAAAAATGAGCACAACTGAAAGAAACAATTCTCGGTGGAATTAATTTCACCCAGCAGCCATTATCCAAGTATTCCCATTCTGGTAAACCAGTTGCAATGTAATGCCAAATTTACATACTAATGAGGAAATAGTGGCCCGCTGTGGAAACTTTGCATTTTACATCAGTATCCGTCTTAAAAATACATGTCCTTCACCCACTCACTGCCACAATTGAATCTTTGGTGTATCAAATGTTGGAAAAAAATGTGGAATTAATCGAGCCCTTGCATTGCTCTGAAATTTGTAATGGAAGTTGTTTCACAACGAATAAATTCGGCAACTACCTCAAATCGCTTTTTCGGGCTACCCATTCAACAAAGACTTATCTCCACTTGCCACCTCAGGGTACCCCCAGAGGATCGATAGGTGAAACCTCCACCATAATTTTCCCAGCAAGGAGACAGTACCTAT